TACTTTCATTTCTATGTGACATACTATCCAAGAAAAGGAGACAGTGACCAGTGAGTCAACAGACAGTAAGCACTGAGCGTTTTAACATTTTCAAGAAAGTGAATAATTCGAATATCAATCTCCTTTGTTTGGGTATTCTGCTTCTTCTAGGTGAATGTGGTACAGCCCCTCAAAGTAGCTAGATATGAGGAAGATTCCATTAAAGAGCCCCACTAAACCCTCTACTTGCCTCTTTGTCATTTCAGCCAAGAGGTACCAAGGATCTATTTTATCCTTAAAACTCTGCTGGGTACACGAGGAAACACAAGAAAACAAAATGGACTCTGCTTGACCTTGAGACAACACTGCCTGGGGGAAGAACACCAAGCAAAAAGAAAAGAAATGCTGTGTAGGGATCTGGCTTTGCCGCTGAATGGCCACACGACAAGCCCTAGTTTTTTCAGTGGTAAAATGGGCTTAACATTATACCAGCTGTCCTATTGCAATCCGAAAATAAATTAGGATTAAAAAACATTTTGAAACTTAAAAAAATCATTATATTTAAGATAATATGTAAGATATTATTATTTATCAAACAACTACAGAATAGAAGAAAACATAGATGCACAATGTATGTAATATAAAGGCAGAATTTCTCAAAGTTAGTTCAACACAAGAATTCTGTGAGATGTTTATAAATGTTCGTCAAAAAGAGTCCCATGGCCAAGTCAGGGTAGGAAGTACAAAACGTAAATAATTTTTCTATTATTAGTACTACCATTACCAGTAGTTAACAATGAGTAAGTTTCAGTCATGGTGCTAAGCCTTTTATGGATGATCTCATTTAACCTCACAACAACCTAAATATTATTATTATCCCCATCCTATAGATGGGAAAACTGAAGCATAAGGCATTATAAAACTTGCTGAAGGTTACACAGCTAATGACAGAGGCAGGATTCAAACTCCGAGCTCTCACACTTAACCATAACACAATACTATTCTCTACTTTCTCAAAGTTTTTGAGATTCGTGTGAATTTCTCAGAGGGAACTAGAACATGTGTCTCTCCTGAATTTATTTTTTTGGAGCAACTTGCAGCACTTTAGGAAATGGGGCAACAACAAAAATATATACTCATTACCTTTCCCTAAACTTTTCTTCTTCCTAGGCTTGGGCCACACTTTAATGTAATGTACATTACATTACACATTTAATGTAAATGTATTCCTTTACATTCCATGTAGCCCAAATTAGTAATCCAAGAAATACCAACTTAAAATTACCTGCCTGAGTCACTCTCATAAATACAGAACACAGCACACAGAAATTCATATTACTATTTGGTTTAAATGTGTGGGGCCAGAATTTCATATTGTGCAACTGTGAAGGACATCTACACTTAAAGGACGAAAATGTATCAACTGTTAAATAATATACATGGTAACTACACATGATTATAACCTCCCTTGAAATTCCCAACATTCCATCAAGTGAAGTGAATAAGACTGCATTATTCAACTTCTGCTTTGTACTTACTAGCTTTATTATACTTCAAAGAAAAAAAAATGGAATAAGCCCATTAGGCAGTTTTGTTACCAATGAGTGGATTTTCCAATATTTTCTTCATCTAGTTTATGTAGCATAGCCTATAATGTAATCATTCTGTTTGAAAGAACCACAATTTTCATCATCAACACCATTAAGGTAAACTTAGTGTAGAAGAAACTCAATCATAACACATCAAACACTTACTTTTATAGACATTAGTAAAGCAGATCCTCATTTTTTGATGATTGTACCATTTCTTTATGCTGTACTAAAAGCCAGGGATATAAGAACAATAATACACGCTGAAGCCCAGGCAAAAAAGATACCCAATGATCAATGACAAGGGGTTATGCAATTTGACATCTTCACCTCCCCTCTTAAGAATCATACAAGCAATACGGTAAATGAAGTTTTTTTTTTTTTTTTTTTTCTGAGACAGAGTCCTGCTCTGCTGCCCAGGCTAGAGTGCAGTGTTGCGATCTCTGCTCACTGCAACCTTTGTTTCCCAGGTTCAAACGATTCTCCTGCCTCAGCCTTCCAAGTACCTAGGACTACAGGTGCATGCCGCCACACCAGGCTAATTTTTTGTATTTTACTAGAGACAGGGTTTCACTGTGTTAGCCAGGATGGTCTCTGTCTCCTGACCATGATCCACCCACCTCGGCCTCCCAAAGTGCTGGGATTACAGGCATGAGCCACTGTGCCCGGCCATGAAATTTCTTTTTATAAGAAATCTACTAAATAAGCACTAAAATTATCAAGATACTGTCATTTACCATCCATAAGCAATCATGTCAAAAACATCCACATCTTATAACCCTCACAGTAAGCATTAGCAATGGTAGCGAAATGAGTTCTTAGGATAAGTTGCTAACATCACACACAGCATTCTAGCAAATTAAAAAACTTGTGCCAAGGACATGTGGAAGAATGGTCCCTTTGACATAGTAGCCCTAAAGAAAGGAGAAGTTCTAGTCATGCTGCTTACCTAAAATCAACATCAACAGAGTGAAAGGGGAGTTACTGTTTAATGGGTGGAGAGTTTCAGTTACGCAAGATGAAGAGTTCTGTGCATGAACGGTGTTGACAGTTGCACAACAATGTGAATGTACTTAATGCCACCGAACTATACACTTAAATATGGTTAAAATGGTGAATTGTGTTATGTGTATTTCGCCACAATTTAAAATAATAATTTTAAAAACAACGTTAACATAATTTTATGTTTTAATTTTCCCTTGGGGGATGGGCATGTTTTTTCTACTTCTCTACACTCCCCCTTTTAAAAGATAAACCTGGCTGGGCACAGTGGCTCATGCCTGTAATCTCAGAACTTTGGGAGGCTGAGGCAGGTAGATCACAAGGTCAGGAATTCAAAACCCCATCTCTACTAAAAATACAAAAATTAGGTGGGCATGGTGGCACGTGCCTGTAGTCCCAGCTGCTCGGGAGGCTGAGGCAGGAGAATCCTGGGAGGCAGAGGTTACAGTGAGCTAAGATCTCACCACTGCACTCCAGCCTGGGCAACAGAACGAGACTTCATCTCAAAATTAATTAATTAATTATAAAAATAAACCCATGTTTCAAAATAAAGGATTAAAATTTCAATATCCAGAATATTACGTCTAGTAAAAATTCTGCTGGGGTTTCGTGGTCTTATGCTTCTTCCCTTCCAGAATAAGCTAGGACAGTAAATTCACAATAGACCTTCAATTAGTGATATAAAACTAAAGGTTTGGTGAAATAACACAGATAAGTAGGTTAGGAGTCTAAAGAAACACTTTTGACTTCCATTTGAAGTCAATAAAAGGAAGACAAAGAGCTGCCAGAAATCTCTCTTGTTTATTATATTTGGCTGTCAGCACAAAGGCATTAAGAAAGAAGCTTCAAACTTTGAAAAGTGCTCCTTCCAGTGAACTCGATAGAAGCAAATCAGAGCGTACATGTTCCTTCTCCCTCTTTCCTTTCTATAGGTACCTGAACTCAAGAAACTTCAGAACACAGTAAAAATCCAAGTCAGACAGTAAGGAAGGGAAGACTAAGATGGAAAAGATCCCATTTGTACTGGAGGTTGTGTGGGAAGAAATGCTGGAATGATCCAGGGAAGGAGAATGGTAGCTGCAAAATTCATTAGACACATTGGGCCTCCATTTTCAGGGCCAGGCCCAAGGCCCAAGGAACATGTAAGAAACACGTCATTACTTATTTCTCTGAATTATCATACTGGAAGGACTTCACTTTCAGACCAACTGTTCATAATACTCAATCATCTGCAAGAAAAAACAATCCAAACATGTGAACATAAGTTCTTAAAGGACTATATTCGGGAGAAAGGACTCACATCTTGGCTGTAACTGCAGAGGGCACTGAAGTCATGAATGGGTGACTGGATCAAATGACTTCAAAAGAACTTCTAAGCCTGAGAAATCAAATCCGATACCAAGGCTGCATCAGTAAGAAGGGATGTTCTGGGATTTTAGGATGTAAACCTTCATGGTCATAGAATAGGGCAGTTTTTGATCTGTATTCACGTGGTTATTCAGAACTTAAAATTCTAAGAACATGGGTAACCAATTAGAAAATAAGTCCATTATTTTACAATTCTGGAAATACATATTAATATCCACGTTAAAGTATCTGTGGTTGTGATCTGATATCACAACCATAATGCGATGCAGGGTTAGTGTGTACATGGAAAACAGCGCTCTAGAGGAAAGTTTTATTATTCCCTCAGGGCTTTCTTACAGAGTATGGATTTTTTAATTCCTAGTGGAATATTTTTCATACACCATTGCAGACTATTAAGTACCAGATATTACATTATGTAGTTTAAACTTTGCAACTACTGCATAAGAAGACTTCCCTGTTGGAGAACTGTTTTTTATGGCTAGCATTTTTCAATATGAAAATGAACAATCCTTTGGGGTAAGATCACTGCAACTGGAATTTGGGAGAACTTTATAACTTAACATATTCATCAATGTGTAGAAATTCTCTCAGGGGAGCAGGGTGAGGAGTGAAGAAAATACAACAGGAAGAAGGCTTTTTAATAATTTACAGTGTTGACACAGGGCAAAGCAATGGTATTTATAAGGTCTGGCTTCCACTGGGCATAAGTGTAAACAGGCAGGGGGCTAGTGTAGGGTGATAGCAAGTTAATAATAATAATAATGTGTTAAAAAGCAAAGGAAAAAATGCATTAAACTTCAGGCCAGTTAAAGGTACACTTACTAATGGTGGACTATTAACTACACACCCAGGAGAGATGCAGACACGGAAATATTAAAAAGGCAATATAAATGCACTTTCCAGGCAATTCTTGAGAAAATAGATGTCTTGCAGAATTTTGGAGTCAAATATGGAAATAAAATCTAAGTCCTAGTGGTCATTTAAAAATCTCTGTCACAGAGAACTTGGATACTCAATATTTGGAAAAGTGGATAGAAAGTTTAAACAAAATTATCTACTCACTTGTAGACTGTGCCTCCATTGCCATGACCAAGAGTGTCCCGATACCGTATGTCTTGTTCATTCATCTCCACGAGAAAGAAAGAAAAACAAAAAGGGTGTCATGCTGTGGATGGAAATGTCAAGGAAAAGCAACTCTGGGCCATAAACAACAAGCAGTCTGGGTCATTTCAAGTTCAGCTGCAAGAACAAGAAGATCAATACAACATTTGCTGTCCAATTTATAAAAGACGATACCAAGGGACAAAGTGATGGAAAGTTTAATGACAATTTGTTTGCCTGGGTCATTTCATTAAAGTTTGATAAAAGGTGTCAAAATGGAATGATATAACATAGCTCAAAAGGGTCAGGTCAGAGATACTGATAAGAAAACAGTCTCCAGTACTGCATATAACCGATGCCAAAGAGCACTGCACATAACCAAAGTCAAACTTAGGAAGACAACACACATAAGCGCGCGCCCACACACACACACACACTCTCTCTCTCTCTCTCTCTCTCTCTCTCTCTCTCTCTCTCTCTCTCTCTCTCGGTAATCTAATGCATGATCTGTAAATAAATCAGCCCTAGAAAACTCCTCAGATGATCTCCATAGTTAACATCTAACAAACTAAATGTTTATGATTTTCCTAGAGTACATACAGCTTTCTTTGCAAATAACAAACTAGTATACAGCAATAATTAAGTAGAAATCACATTATAAAGATGGAAAAGTACAAAATCAATGCACTTGATGCACATATAGTCAAATATTATAACATATAAAGGAAAAATACATAGGCATGTAATTTTTATTAAATATAAGTCATTTTCAGAACTTAACATAAAACAGTTTGTATGTTTTCCAAGGTTCTAAAAAACCCATTATACCACAAATTTGTATCATGAATAGTAGGTGAATTATGTTAGTGCCCACAAAATAATGTTTTAAGAGTTTGAGAGAGCTCCCTATATAATTATTTATCAAATGACTTTAAGACTAGTCAGACTTTATTTGATATATTCAGTAATTTTCTACACACTGGTCCAGATGCTTAAAAATTAACTGCCAACTTTATTCACTAAGTGGATTTAATAAAGGTGTTATTTTCCATAGAGCTAAAGCTTGGGAAAAGCCACAGTAATCCCTGAAAAAAAAAAAATCAATTTCCAGGGAATTGCACTGCCTTGCATGGGCAGAAAATGGATGGAGTTTTTAATTCAATATCACTTGGAAAAAAAATAGTTTGCTCTCAGACCAGTATAGTAAAGCTTTAAATATTTTGCTCTAAACTTCCACCAACTGAATAAAGCAAGGGTTCATTTACCCAGGGAAATGTTTTCCCTCTACACATTTCTGAAGTTGAAGCTTCAGAGAGCTGTGATAATTAGAGTACAATGCAGGTAACAGAAACAGCTTCCTTTCCAAGCCGTTTTACCAATCCTAAAAGAATATTGACAGATTAATGTGTAAAGGCCAATTCAGCACCCAATTTAATTTTAGTACAACCAGACTGATGCAATTTAAAATCAGCTAATTACTGTATTTAGGGTCAGTGAAGTAATAAAACACAAACACAATTGGCAACTATTTTCCTATTTGAGGGGAATTCTGTTCATCTGTTTTTTATATTACTAATACAGAAAAAAATATTTTAAGCTGTATAAAAGATGTGGTATAGAGAAAGTAAGACCTCATTATTCTGAATGGAATGATAAATTTTAAAGCAGCATGAAGAAAAGTAGCACATAAAGTGGTCAGATGCTAAACTAGCAGAGTTGCTGTTTGGGCAACTGATCGATGAAGGATAGGTAAACAGCAGCATCCATTGGTGGGCACAAATAGGCCACTGGGCTAATTCCCTTAGAATATTTCTCTAGGTAATCTAAACGTGTCTGTAACAACCTGATTTGTACTATTAACCAACAAGCTGCACTTTCATCCTTGCTTGACATAAATTTCTAGGAGAGACATTTCACTCACTCAAGTACACAAATTCTGAATTTGTGGCACGAAGATTTAAGGGTAAGCTGGAAGCTGCTATGTAGCAGGTAGGGTCTAGGCTCAGGAGGGGCCACAGTCTGCAGTCATATCCCCTCCACTACTTCACAGGCAAAGGGGTAGGTATGGCATGTCTCTAGGCATGTTCAAATGGTATAATCCTGATATCATAGTCTTACCACTAATATGCACAAGAGGTAAAAGAGAAGGGAAGAAGCTACCCAATCCACATTCCCAGCACTCCAACCAGCAAGGACTGGTAGGTATCCAGCACTGTCAGGGCACAGGTGGGGAAGGAGTGCAGGGAGGAGAAGGGGAGAAGAAGAACATTTGTTGCAAGTGTATGTGCATTGCACTAATCACTGTCTAAGCAAATTCAAGGGTGGAAAACAATCAAGACAAATAGAGAATCCTTCAGATAACCAGGAGGATTTCAAGAGTCTCATAAAGATAAAAAGCAAGTTTTTTTTGAAGAGCAAGTTCTAGAACCATGTCACTTAGATAGTACCCATAAAAAGTGACTAAAGTGTTCCTACAATGTGTTTCTACAATGTTTTAAGGTTCTGCAAACTTTGGCCTATGAACTGATTGATAGTTTTATGGTTTGGGGGTTTTTCTGGGTTTTTTGGGGGAGGGATACAAAGTCTCACTCTGTCACCCAGACTGGAGTGCAGTGGTGCTATCTCAGTTCACTGTAAACTCCAAGTTCAAGTGATTCGCCTGCCTTAGCCTCCCGAGCAGCTGGGATTACAGGTATGCACCACCATGCCTGGCTAATTTTTGTATTTTTAGTTGAGATGGAGTTTCACCCTGTTGGCCAGGCTGGTCTCAAAGTCCCAACCTCAGGTGATCAGCCCGCCTCAGCCTCCCAAAGTGCTGGGATTACAGGAGTGAGCCACCATGCCTGGCCTGATAGTTTTTAAATATTAAAAAATATCAGATTATTTTTCTTTTTGCTTATTTAAATTTTCTAATTTTATTATGCTGTACAAACACTCCTCATGTAAAAGCATTTGGGAGGGATAGGAAAAACAAAGCAGAGCCCAGTAATTGATTATAAAAAATATTTTTAGAACTTCCTATCTCTGATCAAATGGGTTAATTTAATTGATCTTAACTATGAAAAACTCATTAAAGGGACTAAAATCAACTAGTAGTATTTTTGCCTTTTTCATTTAGATAGGAATATTAATTCAACTTTTCCAAATGAAGCCTAGGAAAAGTGTTCATCATTTAAGAAAGTGATATTTATAAGCTTATGGAATAATTTATTTAAATATTACAGTTGGGATCAAGTATCATTAAAAAAAAAAAAATCACAGAATTTTACAGCATCCTGAGACCACTTAGCCCACTTCACTAAGGTTTACTGCATGACCAGTCAATAACAGCTAGTCGAGGCTAGAACTCAGCCTTTCAGTATACTCCAGTTCAACACCATAGCTCAGCAGTTTGTCTCAGGTGTTAAGTATGGAGGGACATTCCTATCAATGGCCACTGGCCCACAGGAAGGTACACAATCAACTAAGAGACACTCACAAGTTAAAAGCAACTTCATTAGCTATGATGTTTGTTTTTAAGAAGAAAAACGTTTTTAAAGTCAAACAGCTCTTTAAATTGAAAAGAGGTGAAGGATTTTTATTCAATAACAATACTAAGTCATTTTTAAATACAGTCCAGTTTCCTTGTTTTGACTAAAAAAAAAAAGGCAGAATAATAAATGTGAGGGAGGAGGAAGAAAAAGCCACAAGAGTTACAATTACATGTCAACTGCCAAGATAGCAAATGACCTTAGAAAAATGACTGGCATTGAGCTCTGTCCCTGCTGCAAGAGAGGCGGGGCCATAAAAGAGACAGAGACAGCAACAACCCGTGGGCAGTCAGGTTGGGTTTGGGTGGGTAGAGGACGACTGTTGTGTAGTGTAGACTTACATACACAGTCTTATTTATGTTTCAGTCTTCATATGCAATCCAAGATGAACTGCAAGAATCTAAGAGTTACATATACTAGTAATAATAGTTTTTAAACTTAATTTTACAATAGATACCTATTCTCCCTCCCTTTTTTTTTCCTAAATACAAAAAGGTTTTCCTGTGGTTGTTCATTTTTTGGTTTTGTTTTTTTTTTTGTTTTGTTTTGAGACAGAGTCTTGCTCTGTCGCCCAGGCTGGAATGCAGTGGTGTCATATTGGCTCACTGCAACCTCTGCCTCCTGGGTTCAAGTGATTCTCATGCCTCAGCCACCTGAGTAGCTGGAGTCAAAGGCATGCACCACCACACTCAGCTAATTTTTTATATTTTTATAAAGAAGGGGTTTCACCGTGTTGGCCAGGCTGGTCTCAAACTCCCGGCCTAAAGAGGGCCTCCTAAAGTGCTGGGATTACATGCATAAGCCACCACCTAAACCTTTAGAAAAACGGTGTCAGTGTTTTTCTAAAGGTGTTTTAAGTTTTTCTATAGGCTTTCTGAAGTTCTCAAAATAACAGCCAAAAGATACAACTGGACCAGAATTAGTTCTAGATCTGATTTGAGTAGATTTATACTTTGAAAATATTGCCACCCTCTCCATAAAATTGAAAAAAAAAAAGAAAAAAGAAAAGAAAAATAACTTTAGAGATGCAAAAGCCAAAGTCACATATCTTTGGAATAGGTGTGCACTTTTTAAATTCTTCAAATTGACCCTCTGGCTATTTCTAATCAGTTTCAAATCAAGGGCCAATATTAAACAGATGATACCACACTAGAACTGAAGTAGGAAAAACACATCAGTGGGACTGATTTATAGCTCTCAATAAAACATGCCAAAAATATCTTCTGATTTATTTTTTTAAGCTGGAAAATGGGATTACCTCCACATAAAAGGGCTAACAGGAAAACAATGTCTCCATTCCAAAGATTGAATGTTAAACTTTTTAAAAAGTGCTTGATCTAATGAAATTAATGGGAAAAATGAAATGGAATTCAATTATGAACCAGCAAAGAAAATATTCTTTGTTTATTGTCTGTCTGTATTAAGAAGAATCAGTACCTATTGCTTATAAATCATCAAAATAAAAATGCTCAATTAGTCCTTATTTTATATGTAAAGGTCTGACAGAAACTAGTCCCATCACTAGACCTTTGCTTCACAAATCGAAGCAATAATGGTTTCAGAAGGCAGTCACACTCTATGAGCAGACAATTGGAGAGATTTAGTAAATCCCACTTTATAGAGCAGAGACTAATCGGAAAACACAGGCCAGTCAAATGTTTCTTATGAACTGTTGACACTATATCAATGCTGAATCAATTGGTGGCATTTACTCTGAGTGACAGAAAAGAAATAAATATTTATATCACATAACCTATATCAATGAACCCAGGCAGAAAGCTATTTCTAACTTGTCAATATTTGATTATCTTGAAGAATCATGTCCCTTTCTTTTAATGATTAATATGAATTCCTTATTAAATCTAAGTGGAGGCTAGTGGAAAGGCAAATCATTATTAATGCTTGAGAGCATAAACCACTAAAATAAAAAACTATGCTCAAGTGTTAAAGTATCATTAAATGTGACTTACATCTTCCATATCAAGTGGTGTCAGTGTTCAGCCCAGAAATTTATTGATGCCTATAACTGTGCATAGTACCTCACTGCAATGCAATTTCACTCACTGTTTAGTTACTCCATAGCACTAAGGAATTAAGGAATTAGTAGAAGGAGACATTTTGAAAGCTTCCAAAGGTGGGTTTTTCGGTTTTTGAGGGGATTTTTTGAGTGCAAGTAAATGTAAGAAAGGCTAATCCTTATTAAAAAAACAAAGTCATATTGTTTAATATGAGGCTATCACATTCCCAAGGGAAAACAATAAACAATCTTTAAGTGTCAAAAACCCTTGCCATGACATCTCCCACCATAGAGAATCTCATAATTGAAGCCACTAAGATATCTATGGTACTAGGTTTACCGTCAAAACATTATGAGCATATCAAAATGCTTATTTTTTGCAGTGGAAAAAACTGTTTTTCATTTTTGAAAGAAGAGTCTGTGACAGGTTATTTTCCATTGTCTGGGCTGAACAAATGTAGTTAAAGCTTCTTAATTTATGTCAATTTTGAAATATATTTTCCAGCTGAAGAACACAAGTGACTCATACATAAATTACAATTAGTAACTAGAATGCAAGCATTTGAAGATACATTAATATCCTAGGCTCAATATTTTTGCTTTTAGTCAGATTTGGTTTATATACACTGGTTCTAACAAAATATAAGTCACTGAGGGGAGACAGATGTGGACCTCAATCTAAACACACCCTTTGGCCGCTGAAAGTTAAAGGTATTAGATAAATACTACCTAAAATGTTCAGACTGCAAAGATTATACATACGCCACCAGATTCTCCTTAGCTGTACACAGGATATTTAAGGACTAGAATTCACATACTCTGGATGGCAATCAGGTGTCAGAAGCAGATCAACTTAATCTCTTCTAACTGTATTCAAGGAATTGTGCGCTAAATAAGCAAGGCCTCCAGAAGCACTACCATACAGCACTGTTGTAAGGCACGCACATCTATTAGGCCACAATGTTACAGGTGATATTAAAGGACAGGCATGAAGACCTGGCTTTGTCTTCTTGACATGCTCCACTACAAGTACTTGATTCATGAAATGCCAATGAGGCTTGGAGAGGTCAGCGTGTGACGGCACTGAATAAGCATCTGAGATAATTAAGATTTCAGCCTTCGAAACATGGACGGGAAGTGAACAGCAGTTAAGAAAATCAATAAGAGTCTTTTATTTGCAGTGACACAGATGTCTCAGTCAATAGAGCCTAATAGGCAGGCTTGATCGCAATAGACAGGCGCCTGCCTCCAAGGCTATCAAAGGGCTTCCACTATAACAAACATTAAAACGCATTTATGTTGCTATTGAAGAATTGAGGACCCTGTAGGTAGCTTAATTTACCAGTGTATGTTTAAAAGCACTATACTATTTCAGATGTGTCCATTTACTTGAATCAAAATTACTAAGAAATAACTGGCCTGCAGGCCCGTTTGTCCCTCACTGGCTGGGTTAGGTCATTCAGCTTTAGATGGCCAGTCTAGTAGGCAAACCAAGGTCTCCCGAAGGCCAGGAATTTTATATGCCAAAGGTCTGCTGTCACTCCACTTCCCTAAAAAGCCAGTGTTAGTTTCAGGACAAAAGAAGGAGCAAAGGTGAGAAAGTAATGGTTTTTCCTTTTCTCCCCAAAGATAATGAAAGAAACAGTCACCTCAGAATGCAGAGCCATTTCAACAACCCACGAGTTGACATACTTGTTCAGAACTGATTAACTTTTTAAAAACTGAGACGGCAGCAGGGTGTGTGCATGGTACTTCAATCTGCTGGGAGTGAAACCCATTAGCACAGTTTGAAAAACGGCCTGCAAATTGTTCTGCCAATCAAATTAAGCCATGTTATTCATTTATGACAGGAAATTCACACTCTTTATCTGTTTAATAAGCTTATGGATACAAAAGCTGGATAGTAATACATTACTATGTGAAAATCTTAATATATATTAATACCTACCTGGCCATTGGCTAATATTTTTTTCAGTTCAGCAGAAGACTTCTTTAAGCTGAAAAGGAAAGATAACTTTTAGTGGCAAGATCGTCAACACCTCTGAACACCACTGAAAATTCCAGACTGAAATACACCATTGCTTTTAGGTATAGGCATTGAGCATACTCTTTGCATCCTTCTCCCAATATAAATTTTTTTCAAAAGTAACTGGCCAAATGCCAAGGGTATCAAAGAGACTAAAACCCTATTAGTAATCTAAAGCAATAAAGAAGCCTACAGTAAAGATGAAGCTACAATATTTTATGAACTACTTCAGTGACTTTTTTTGGTCATTAGTTCTACTGTCTAGATAGTCTTTCAGAGGCAATTTCACATGGACAGTCTCATCTGCTAAGCACTAATATTCACAGCAAATAAAGATTATAGAACTTCAAAAGGCAAAATAGATCATTTAAGTCCTGGTCTCTTACACAGTTAAAAGTCATAATTCAGCTTCCTGGGAAGCAAACAAGTATAGAAATAAACCCTGGTACTCACTAGCTGTGTGATCTGGGACAAGTTATTATCCTCTCTGAACCTCAATTTCCTCTATCTGTACAATGGGAAAAATACCAATTTCATAGGGTAACCAGGAAAATTAAATATTACAAAAAAATCTAGCACTTGTCCATAGTAGGCATGTTTTTATAAATAAAATTAATACATTTTAGTTGGCTTTTTTCCTTTCCTATGGGTATGAGACTCAGCTCCCAGAGTTATTTAGGAAATATTATAGTGTTTTCTGAACATATATGACTATGTTAACACTCATGTGGATGAGTTTAGTGAGAGTTCTTTTTTTTTTTTTTGAGACGGTTTCACTCTTGTTGCCCAAGCTGGAGTGCAATGGCGCCATCTCAGCTCACTGCAACCTCTGCCTCCCAGCTTCAAGAGGTTATCCTGCCTCAGCCTCCCGAGTAGCTGGGATTACAGGCATGTGCTACCATGCCCAGCTAATTTTGTATTTTTAGTAGAGACAAGGTTTCCCCATGTTGATCAGGCTGGTCTCGAACTCCTGATCTCAGGTGATCCACCCACCTCAGCCTCCCAAAGTGCTGGGATTACAGGTATGAGCCACTGCACCGGCATGAAAGTCCTTGAAGAAAGAATGGTAGCCAAGGGGAGCTCTGAAGTCTTCTAGCCTTATAATGAGTTATACCTGTAAACATCTACCTGCCTCGTAGAGTAGCATATAAAATAGCACCTTCCCCAGGAATATTCTATTTGAGATTTAAAGCCTGTTAACTCTATGCTTAATCTATCCACTTTAGCCCTTTACCTACCTACCAGCGCTAATTGTCAGTAGAGAGACGTCTTTCTTCCTACCATATCCTCCCCCAATAGAGCAGAGTCTGGGAGCTCCCTGAGAACACAGACACATCTTACTTATTCTATATACTCCATTCTCTTCTCACCCTTAACTATAGCCCAATGACTTGGCATATGCTAAAGGGTTCCATAAATGGTGGTCACTGCTCTGGTTATTATTATACTATGGTGGCAGTGGTAGCAATGCAGTAAGACATTAAGATCATAAATATAACAGAAACTCAAGCCTGTAATCCCAGCACTTCGGGATGCTGAAGGAGGATCACTTGGGCCCAGGAGTTCAAGAACAAGCCTGGGCAACACAGTAAGGCCCCATCTCTACAAAAAATAAAAAACGTAGCCAGCCATGGTGGCATGTGCCTGTAATCCTAGCTACTCAGGTCACTTGAGCCCAGGAGGTTGAGGCTGTGGTGACCCTTAACTGTGTCACCGCACTCCAGAATGGGTGACAGCAATGAGACCCTGTCTCAAAAAAAAAAAAAAAAAAAAGGACAAAAAAGAAAAAGAAAAAAAACAGAAAGAACTCAAGGCCTAATACGAAATACACATATTCCATTTGGTGCCTTTAATAGGTTACATATGAGAGACTCTCAAACTTCAAGTTTGATCACACTTTACCACTTCAAGTTATATACTCTTCTTTCTAAATACATCTTAAACTTTTGCTATGGTCAAATGTAAACTGTGGAGCCTCAGTCCCTATTTTCCTAGACTGTATAAAGTATGTCCTCACCCAAGGGTTCTTGACATTAATATAATGTCCAACCAAGTCTAAGAATCCATGCACTAAAGTGGCAATGAACAATTTTGTAGAGTAGAATGATATCTGAAACACACAAAAAAATACAGCTGTCTAAAATCAGTCAACTTAACAGCAGCTGCCATTTACCAAGTGATGATCATGTGCTAGGCACTATGCTAAATACCTATTATCCTAATTTAATCCTTATAATAACTATCCTAATTGATAAAGGATACTAAAATACAGAGCTGTAAGGTACATACCTTGCTCAAAGTCAGACTATCTCTTATACACACACACACACACACATTTTTTTCTGGGAAACATTCAGATCCTAGTTTTCCCACAAATTACTCCCTATTTGATAGTTCCAATTATTGTAAAGACACAAATAACCAAAGAAAGCTCAGGCAAGGTTTCTACAGATATTCCATTATGTTATAAACTTGAAATAATAACATTTTGATTCATTGCATTTATAAAATGCCTTTCATCCAAGAAATAAAATGTGATTCCCAATACAGCTTCATCAATCTTTCTAACACCAGCAGTAGATAGATGGAAAGTTTAATCATCCTAATTTACAGAAGGAGAAAGCTAAGTTGTTTAGGAAAGGCCTTGCCTTGGCAATGGGACTTGAATTCAGTAATTATTGCCTAAGAACACCGTGTGGATTAGTAAACTCAGTTTAATAAACACCTAAGGCAAAAAAAAAAAAAACAACAGAAAAACCACGCTTTGAGAGTAACAAAGGAAAATACTGTTTCATTCATTATGCCAGTATCTACCTGGCTATCAAGTTGGTCTGGTTAAAAAAAAAAAAAAAGAAAAGAAAATTATACCCTGGCAGTTTCTTTGTGACTCAATTTACCCAATATTTCATTTATCTGCACATTCACAGTGACCTAAGTTATCCAAAAATCACTTTTAAAAACATTTTAAGGCCAGCTATGGTGGCTCATGACTGTAATCACAATACTTTGGGAGGCCAAAGTGGGAAAATTACTTGAGCCCAGGAGTTGGAGACCAGCCTAGGCAACATAGTGAGACCACCGTTTCTACAAAAAACTAAACAAGTTTAGAAAAAAAAAACTTAGCCAGGCATTGTGATGCAAGTCTGTAGTCCCAGCTACTTGAGAGGCTGAGGTGGAAGGATCACTTGAGCCCAGGAGGTCAAGGCTACAGTGAGCCATGATCGCGCAACTGCACTCTAGCTTGGACAACTGAGCAAAGACCCGTCTCTAAAAAAGTAATGAAATAAAAACATTAAAAAATTTCAGTGTGTTAACAAATGTAACTTGAGTACGACACCTGAAGAGAGACACTGAGATAGCCAAAGAAGAGTAAAAGAATGAGGGGGCTAGAAATAATGTCATATCAGAAAAGACTAAAGAGTTGGGAGAATTTAGTCCAGAGGCAAGATGTAAAGGAAATACAAGTAAACTCATACATACACTCATTCATTCAAACACGATTGACTATAACCTATGTGGCAAGCATCATGTTGGGAATTGAAACTTTGTCAATGAATATGCTACAGTCACCACCCTCAAAGAGTATAGAATCCGCTGGAGGAGAGAGGTGATTATAATATAATGTGCTCACTGCTACAACACAAGGAAGCATGGGAGTTAATCACAGGAATTCCTAGAGAGGTCCCTGGTGTGCACTGGGAGATGGGTAGTAATCAGGGACAGTTTTCAGAAGACAATTTAGTCCTCAAAGATAACCAAGGTTAGCCAGACTGAAGGTCAAGGTAGGGATGAAAAGAAACGGGAAAATGTGCAGGCCCAGTAAAGAGAAGAAAGTGATCCCTTCAGGGCACCATGTTTTCATCAGCAAAGCTGGAATGTCAGGTGGGATGGGGTGGAGAGGCGGGCCAGCAAGCTGGAGTGCACAGAGCACCCATATGTGAAGGGCCACCGCTGACCTGCTGTGGAGGTTACACTTCATCTTGAAAGCGAGAAGAGCAGTGAAGTTTTAAAGTAGGGAATGACTGAGGCTCAGGACTGTGTACTGGCCAAACAGCTCCAGCTGCAGGGTGGGGGAGGAGCTGAATGGGGCAAGAATGGAGGAAGGAGACTCTCAGGGGGCTGTGGCAGCAATGTGTTGGGCCAGAGCCACCCACACAGCAGCCAGAATGCTGGCAAGTAGAAAGACTCAGAGTTACTCAGAAGGTAGAACCCGCAAGTCTGGGGACTGACAGGATGTGGTACTGAAGGAGGCCTGAAAAGCAGGGAAGGAGGACTCACAAGTCATCTGGAGTTAGCAATGGACAGGAGGTGGGAGAATTTACTGAGACAGAAAATCTACAAGTGCATTTGGAGGGAAGACGACTGGAAGCGCTATTCATCTGGAAGAGGAAACAACCATGTTCTGAGGGCTAAACTAAAACTTAATCTATAGAAAGACGAATTCCAGCTCACAAAAAGCCTTGAGATGCAGCCAAAGAAAAAACAGAAGGAGGTGCCTTGGCTGATGAAGTGCATTCCTCCCACAGGGATCCTCAGGAAGAGGTTTGATGACCACTTGGCAAGGAGTAGGGAGTCAAGCAACAAAGGAGGGCAGGATTAGATGGGAGCTTCTGCTCATTCTCCACACCACAGGCAGAGGATATTTTAAAAACACAAGGTTGGCCACGTCCCTCTCCTACTAAAGCCCTCTAACTGCTCACCAGTGCACTGAGAGGAAAATTCAAACACTACACGACCTACAAGGCCCCGCATGATGAGTCCTGTCTACCTCCTTAGCTCCTGTCACTCCTGCTGCTCTCATCTCCTCTCTCCACACCCCTTCCCCAACCCAGAACCCCTCCCTGTGCTCCAGTCAAACTGGCCTACGCACAAACATGCTGAGCAACTTCTCCACCTCAGGGCCTTCACCTACACTCTTTCCTCTGCCTGAAACACCCTTCTCTGCTTCTTGATGTCCTTCTCATCCTTCAGGTCAAAACAGAAACACCAACGCTCACCAGAGAGCCTTCCCTGAGCAGCCAGTCTAAATCTAAACATTTCATCTTTCTATATGAGGTCCTTTCTCTTTGGTCAATATGTAGCTAGGTTATCTAACTGGTCAAATTTCCTTCTAGTTTCTTCCCCACCCCACCCTAACTCTGTAGATAAATCACATCAAGGGCACACTTCACTTGCTTGTTCTCACCTATTGCTTGGAAGGGCATCTGAGACTGCTGGGCTGCTGTGTTGAGAGGGTCCAGCCCGAGTATTCACCTATAAGTAAAGAAAGAATCTTGATCAGTCTTGTGTTCTGAGGACACAGTTCTAATTAACCTATAATTTGCCACAAATTTCTCATTTCACTATGAAGGTTAATTGGTTTGTTGCTAGACAGACCCACAGTTGGAGTCTATTCAGTATTATATAGGTTATAGAACCGTATAACCCATACATTACATAATACTCTATTACTGTCATTATTCCATTAAATACTTAAATAGTGGTGAAAAAGGAGAGATAAACAGTGTAAAAATCCAACTCACTATCTAGAACACATATAAAAACAGTATGTTCAAAAAGTACATTAAGTATATATCCGGGGTTAGTAGTGAACCTCAAGTTATCATATCCTTCTAGCTCTGCAACCAAGTAGAACCTTGTATGTAGAATGTTTCTTATTCACTAAAAACACAAGGCCCAAGTAATTAATTATAAAATATTTGAGCCTAATACAAAAGCCAGCTTCTCTTTCAGATGTGAAGCCCTAAACAGAAATACAGAATTCAAAATACACAGAATGAAAAGACATTAACTAGATATATGTTTCCAGCATAAATATGTCAAGAGGAGGGTATTCCATGTGCAATATGCTTATGTGCTTAATCACTGAAATGAAGTCTATATTCTCACTCAAATAAATCTTTGTAGAAACCAGCACCGAGGGTTATCCTGAAGACACTGACCAACAAAACAATTCCAAATAATTAAAAATAGAGCACCAAACTCCCAGTATCTAAATATATACAGATATTGAGCAAACACTACAGATGAATTCCCCCTCCACCTCCCATTTAAAAAAAAAAAAAAAAAGGACCGCTTGTCAGAGCTTGAGAAAGTGCAGTTTTATTTGACATTTCAATAAGTGGAACACAGCATTACAAATCCATCTAACTTTACTGAAACAATTATTGAAATTCGTACCTTCAGGCCATGTATGTTCCGTTCCCCAGGAGGCTTGCAGGCTGAAACAGTAATTGACTAAATTGTAGAACACATCAGGGCCATTTACAAATTTGTTCAAAATGAATCGTTTAAAAAGAAATGAGGGTGACACCAAAATTAGCAGAGAGAAATGATTGAAAAGTGGCTCCCAAGACCCAAAGTGGGAATTATGAACCAGGGTTTTAACTTGCAGGAGTGAGCATTTATAAATGCAAAGAGCTTTCTGACACCACCTCATATAAATTCCAATTTCTGCTTAAAACATATAAAAATCAAGTTAACTGAGCTAAAATGATTAGATTCCTTTCATAATTCAAATTTCTGCAATCTGTCCTCATTTTATTACATTGTATATCTGCTATCACTTAAACTACTTTGAAAAGAGCTAAGGGTTTTTCTTTGCGTGGCGGCGGTGAGGGGCGGTGATGAGAAAAGGATCTTTTAATGCCAAAAAGATTGCTAGGGATTCTAAGATGGAACATTCTAGTGTGAATACTACCTTGCATAGCCATTTTCAGTCAAATGTATTAAAATATATAACTAATTTTATTATATTTCTTACAAATCTTGACATGTGCTAATGTTTAGTCCTAGAGATAAAGCAGAGCCAGAAAAAAAAAAAAGAATATTAATTTCCTGATACCATCTTGAGTTACAGGTTGGTGCTTTTCCAATTCAGCAAATGCTTCTTCAACAAATGTTAAAAATACAAAAGCCTCCTGCCCATGTTACAGACGCTTCTATTTGAAAACTATAGTGCCCTACAAATTGCATGTTAAGGGGCCATCCATCAATTTTGATTGATTGTTTGGGGAAAGATTAATTTGATTTTTTTTTTTTGTTCCTCTCTCAGATGTACCTGTGGTTTTCCTGTTTCTCACAATAAGAAATAGAGCTGTTTAATAATAAGATGTGGGTAATGGCCAGGCACAGTGGGTCACATCTGTTAACCCAGCACTTTGGGAGGCTGAGGCGAGCAGATCATGAGGTCAAGAGATCAAAATCATCCTGGCCAACATGGTGAAACCCTGTCTCTACTAAAAATACAAAAAATTAGCTGGGTGTGGTGGTGGGTGCCTGTAATCCAAGCTACTCGTGAGGGTGAAGCAAGAGAATTGCTTGTACCGGGGAGGCAGAGGTTACAGTGAGCCAAGATCGTGCCACTGCACTCCAGCCTGGTGACAGAGCAAGACTCTACCCCAAAAACAAACAACAAAAAAAGTGGGTAATAATTATAAAACACATCAGTTGCTTTCATTTTGTATATTTCAATTATACTCAAATTTATTACGTTATTTTTCCTAGAAAATATGTCTAAACCGTGACAAAGTGTTTTTACTTACCTTTCTAAAATGCACTAAAATTAAGACTCAAAATCTTCTTTCCTTAAAATGGAAATTAACTTTTTGAACCAACTGTAGTCTCATGAGTTTGATGCCTGGTCCTTGAGGGACCATCAATACTTCATAAGACAACACTTCAAAATATTTCCACTGAAGTAAGCAGTGCATTCATAAATTTCATTTAAACCCAATGCCTAACCAAGGAATCGGAGACAAGCATCAACTCTTATCTCTAAACTTAACATCTGCCTCACTCCTCAATTGACTTCTCAAACTTTTATAGCTGGAGATGTAAACCACAATAAAAAAACCCAGTAACCTCATATTTCCTAAAGTTATCAGGTCAGGAATTACTGTAAAGCTAGTAAATGTTCATATTTATTAATATTTAATATCTATTTTGACAACGGAGAGGATTTTGCTATAACCTAGGAGTTATTATCCAAGGCAATTGTGCTATTTGGAATGAGGAGAACATGTTATCAGATCAGAATTATGGCCAGGCACAGTGGCTCACACCTGTAATGCCAGTACTTGGAGAGGCAGAGGTGGGAGGACTGTTTCAGCTCCACCAGCCTGGGCAACATAGTGATACCCTATCTCTACTAAAAAACAAAAAATTGGCCGGGCGAGGTGGTTCACGCCTGTAATCCCAGCACTTTGGGAGGCAGGCGGATCACAAGGTCAGGAGTTTGAGACTAGCCTGGCCAATAAGGTAAAACACTGTCTCTACTAAAAAAAAAATAATAATAATATAAAAAATTAGCTGGGCATGGTGGCACGCACCTGTAATCTCAGCTACTCAGGAGGCTGAGGCAGGAGAACTGCTTGAACCTGCGAGGCAGAGGTTGAAGTGAGCCGAGATTGCGCCACTACACTTCAGCCTGGTGACAGAGTGAGACTTTGTCTCTAAATAAATAAATAAATAAAATTTGCCCAGTATGGTAGCATATGCCTGTAGTCCCCGCTGCTCAAGAGCTAAAGCAGGAGAATTGCTTCAGCCTGGGGAGATAAAGACTGCAGTGAGCCACACACCACACTCCAGTCTGGGTGACAGAGTGAGACTCTGTCTCCAAACAAAAAAGGAAAAAGAATCATTTTCTCCTATCCTTCCTACTTGTTCAGTCTAAAGATTCTTTTTAACATCAGGTCTAACCATAGATTTTAAAGTCTGAGGCGTCTAACCAACTAGGTGGACACAGGAAATATACCCAGTATGCCTACATGTTGATTTTGTAAATTTGCATAATTTCACTTATCTATATATGATAAAATGTACATTCAATGTAGACAGGTAGCAAAATGCAAAAGACTACCAAAAGCTAAAAACACACAAGTAAAAAGTCTCATATTCTGAAATATTTAAATTTGGCTTAAAAAGACTATATTTAACAATTTATTGCAGCCTAGTGGGTTTTATGCTAAGACTACATGTGACACTAACATATCATATATTTTCCTCTTTCAAGTATCCTCTCCCCATAATAATTTTCCCCACACCAAAACAAGCCCTCCAAACCACCCCCATGCACATTCTAATTATATTTTAATATATATGCTTTTCCATTTTAATCACATTATAATTTAAATGAAATTCTTACTTAAAGCATAGTATCCACTTACAGTTATGAGACTTTGAAGTTACTTAACCTCCCTAAACCTCAATATTATCGTCCATAAATTGGAAACAATAATACCTAATACCAGAACTATCGAAAGGATTAGAAATGATGAGGTGTAAAGCAATATTAATGCCTTAACAGAGCAGACATCTAAAAATGGTTGTGATTATCATGGGAAGAAGCAAAATGGCATGAACAGTGAGAATGACAGGACTGCTCACAAAATGAAGAGAAAACAAACAAAATTTGAAAGAATTTGGATGAAGATAACGAAAAAATTTTTTAGAGAAAAATGAAGACCCACAACATTGCAAGTATGTTTCTTTTCTTTTCTTTCTTTCTTTTTTTTGTTTTTGAGACAGAGTTTTGCTCTTGTTGGCCAGGCTGGAGTACAATGGCATGATCTCAGCTCACCACAACTTCCACCTCCCGATTCTCCTGCTTCAGCCTCCTGAGTAGCTGGGATTACAGGCATGCACCACCATATCCAGCTACTTTTTTTGTGTTTTTAGTAGAGATAGGGTTTCTCCATGTTGGTCAGGCTGGTCTCAAACTCCCGACCTCAGGTAATCCGCCCACCTCAGCCTCCCAAAGTGCTGGAATTACAGGTGTGAGCCACTGTGCCCAGCCGTTTTTCTTTTTTTAAGACAGGGTATTGCTCTGTCACTCAGTACAGTGGCATGAGCACGGTTCACTGCAGCTTCAACATCTTGGGCTCAAGCCATCCTCTCACCTCAGCCCACCAAGTTGCTGGGACAACAGGTGTACACCACCACACTTGGGTAATTTTTGCATTTTTTGGTAGAGACAGGGTTTTGACATGTTACCCAGGCTGGTCTCAAACTTCTGAGTTCAAGCAATCCGCCTGCCTCAGCTTCCCAAAGTGCTGGGATTACAGGCATGAGCCACTGCGGCCTGCCTGGAAGACTATTTCTCCAGGATACTACAAATAGGGTTTGCTATGGCAGAGCTATAATGTCTGTATAGAAATTAATGGAAATCTTCAGTTTGTAAAACACTATTCCTTGTGAAGAAACAATTTTAATACTCGACCAAATTCTCCAGTCACTGCAAACATTAAGAAATAATCTACATTCTAATCTTTGGCCTAATACACGAAAATAGCAACACTTCTTTCTCTTTTTTTGTATTGGTGCTTATTCATCAAATACAACAGAGGCGGATTAATCATAATCCTTGTTTTGGACTATCACTGGTGTTAAATAGCCCAATCGTACTTACTTAGCACTTTAATAACTTATTAGTAATATACTAAACACTCCCGATTCTGCTGCCCACATGTATGCTAGAAGAGCAGTATTATTCTTGAACCCAGATCTTCTTGGGGGTTCTTCTTTCGGCCAAGCCAGCTGCCTTTGGAGACTTTATCAGTGCAAATAGGAGCCTAGTGGTTAATTGAGCCATTCAAACTTCAGAGAGTTACAGGTAATGAAAGTCTAGAATGTTTAATTGGAAAACTCATACCATGATTATTTGTACAGTATCAGTTAACGGAGGTAAGTTTAACTTTTAATTATTTCAATTAAGTTATTTCTAGAAGGGTTACTTAGAGAATTTCCTTATCTGTTCCATTAGTTAGAAAACATGGATTCCAAGTGGGGCAATGTATAACGGGTGAAAGACTTAATGGTTTATATAATTAAACTGTTCTTTTTCACCATTATTCAAATTTGGAGGGAAGGTTTATACATGGTTGAACAATCATATCTGATATAAGGATAGTACTGCCAAGCCTAAAAGGAAAAAAGAAAATTATCTGACTGAGGGAGTCACTGAAACTCACTCTCATCAGCTCACATTTTTGGAGATAATCAAATTTCTATTTATGAAGAATTTCAATTATTTAGAAAATACTGCCCCCCAAAAACAAACACCAAACATTCCACCAAAATTTCTCTCCTAACAGCACAGTAAATCTTAGCTTCTGTACTAGCTGAAAGCTTTCTCCTCAATAGCGGCTTTGGCCACCATCATGAGCCACAATTTATAAATATCCAGAATTAAAGTCATTCATTTGCCTTGGTTTACAAACCATGTGGACCCCAAAGAGTTCTTTAAGCTAATGTAAGTATATGCTTCAAAAACAAAAAACAATCTAGTTAGTTTAATTTACTCTAGTAAATTAGATATTTTATCTGCCATAACTATAATATAGCCTGCAATCCCCACGATAATGAATACTTGTTTTGTTTTTCAAATTAAGAGCTAAACATCATGCTATGTGCATTTAAACCTTTGGAAAACATAACTGTTGATGAAACAGTTTACTGAAATAATCATTGTTGATTAGAATTTGCTCAACATTACCTCTTGGAAATATCTGCAGAGGCTCTATTAACTGTCCATTTACTTGCTGTTCCATTACTGTGGAATAATACTGCAAAGAGATTATAGAAAGAGATTACTCAGTAATGTATGAATACTGGAACAGACACTTATGGGTTGTTTAATTCACAGTACTTCTGTAAATTGCTGGTATATACATATCAGCCTTGAGAATACTTTTCCCCTACTGGCACATCAAAATGACTGTAGAGAATATTTACGATTAAAAGTCCAGTGTGTTAGCCTTCACCCTGGCATTTATCTTTAAAAGTGTTAAGATTTTATATTAGTATTTAAGGAATATTTGAAAATGATATATATTTAAACAACACATAAAGTATTTTAGTAGAATTTCCCAAATTGCCTCTCATTCTTTTTCCCTGGATTTTGCAAAGCAAAATGAAGACACTTCACATCTGGCTTGGATCTACATGCCAGTTAATCAAACATTATTCACAGTTGTGTATAAAATGCACAGATAATGGGAATCTAAATCAGAGACTGTGGAAACACAAAACAAGATACGACCCATCCAGAGATGACAGGATTAACATGATGAAAAGGGAGCCTAGTTTCAAACACACATACCTTTTATGCTTCAGCCTTATAAACACTTTAGTACAGATCAAATTGCACTGCAAAATTCTGCGCACAAAACAAAGTTCTAAGTGAAAAAGCTTTCACACTCCTCAGTAAACACAAACTACTGAGTAGGTTGTACTGTGGTCTGATGCCCACTTTTTTCAATACGCTAACTGGTGAGCATATAGCCACCTAATTTGGAGATGTCTCCTTCGCTCTACATCTTGTAACGCTTGACAAACAACAAAGTGACGCTCATGGTAGAAAAATATCTGCAATGAAAATTGCTGATTTTATGTTCTGAGGGGCTGTCAAAGAGCAGAACACCCTTTTTTTTTTTGAGACAGAGTTTCACTCTTGTTACCCAGGCTGGAGTGCAATGGCACGATCTCGGCTCACCGCAACCTCCGCCTCCTGGGTTCAGGCAATTCTCCTGCCTCAGCCTCCCGAGTAGCTAGGATTACAGGCACGCGCCACCATGCCCAGCTAATTTTTTTTTTATTTTTAGTAGAGACAGTGTTTCATCATGTTGACCAGGATGGTCTCGATCTCTTAACCTCGTGATCCACCCGCCTCGGCCTCCCAAAGTGCCGGAGATTACAGGCTTGAGCCACCGCACCCGGCCAGCCAGAACACCCTTTTTATCCTCACTGTTTTTATATTAAAAACATGCATATTATTTAAATACTATATGTTTAGGAAACCCCTCCTTGATTACCATTGTTTGCTGACATTCTTTAAGAGTTTCTTGGGCCGGCGCGGTGGCTCAAGCCTGTAATACCAGCACTTTGGGAGGCCGAGGCGGGTTGGATCATGAGGTCCAGAGATCGAGACCATCCTCGTCAACGTGGTGAAACCCCGTCTCTACTAAAAATACAAAAAATTAGCTGGGCATGGTGGCGCGTGCCTGTAATCCCGGCTACTTGGGAGGCTGAGGCAGGAGAACTGCCTGAACCCAGGAGGCGGAGGTTGCGGTGAGCCGAGATCGCGCCATTGCACTCCAGCCTGGGTAACAAGAGAGAAACTCCGTCTCAAAAAAAAAAAAAAAAAAAGAGTTTCTTTCTTTTAGAAGATATCACATCTATCTTCCTATTGCTTTTTTATGTACATTACAATTATTACAAGAGTAAGGGGATTTTTTTTCTCTTGAAAATAAAGGGGAGCTATAAAATTCTACATCATTTTGGGAATCACAAGTTAATATATCTAAGGCTGTTTGCACTTATAACAAAGTGAAGGTGGATGTTGGCTAGCTATGGACTGATATAAGTGTACGCAGCTCTCCAAAGGCTTTCAAACTGGAAAGAAAGGTGATTCTCTTCTACAGACATAAAAAACTTATATACATAGAGCATAAACCTGTGCAACACACTCCCTGGAATACATATAAGGCAAATGTCTTTCACGAGATTCTGTTCCTTAAAACCACAGAAATACAGCACTCGCCATTACTCAAACAGTGATGACAAGTAAATGAAATATCAATCATGTAGGCTGTCAACCTTTTGGGACAGCAATAACTGTTAACAAGTAGTCTGGAAAAATTGTCCGAAAATGGCTTGTCCTCGGCACACAAGTATTTGAGGTTTCCATGGAAAATTAAGATGCCAGTGGCTATTTGGAACATTGCTCAGGTATTCTTTTTAATGGGAAATTTGCCGGTTATTGATCCACAGCATGTACCCCCTTGCTTCTGGAAGGCTGCAAGCAACTTTCCAATCAGTGGCTGTCAAAAAAATTACTGCCTTTTTGTACTGATACAAGATAACAGCAGTGGTGGTGTTCTCCTATAGTTAATGCTTTTCTTTAATTAACTGCTATGTACAATAGGCTAGAAATTTCAGTTACTACTTTGCCATTGACCTAGAAATCAAGACAAATAAAATATCCTTATGCTTTATCTAACAAGTTAATTATAGAGATGTCTAAAACTGGTGCTTGGGGTCAAGTTTGAAAACAAATAACCTCAAATGTAAAGGGTCAGAACAGGTGCAATGCATTTTTTCCCCACTATAAAACCTTGCATGCATGAAATTGACCTGTTTTCCAGCTTTATTTATTTACCTCACAGAATAAATAAATAAAAATGGTTTTCCTTTCATTTTTGGTCTGTGCCAAATCAACTGGCAAGCTCTATATACCTTTATAACCATTGTGAGAATTTTAAGCCATCTATAAACATCTCTCTGTACTACGATTAACACAGTCACAGTAATGATATTAAGTATGCCACTTAACAGTTTCTCTAAAGCAAGTAGTTAGTTTGTGTTTTTTGTTTTTTATGTTTCCACTAAATCCAACTGTATTTTCTCCTGCTGAACTACTGTGTTTGATCTGTGTCTGTATTAGTGGAGAGCTTATGTTCCACATAGCGATGTAATTCACCAACAAGGACATACTGTAAAGGGAGGTAATCAAGTCCACAATGTGGGCCCCTACACAACTGACCCCTGAGGAGCAGGCCACCAACAAGGCACTAGGCCTAGAAGCTCAGGCTACTGCCTGCAGAGCATTCCTGATGGAACAAGGATAAAATGCAGGGCCATGCATGGTACCTCTTGGCACAGAGCGGTCCTGACCGGCCACTAGGTCCCTGCGGCCCAGTGAGATGTGCAAGGCACATGGAGGACTCAGAGGGCTCAAACTCAGGAGCTTCATCACTAGCCGTCATCTCCCAGCACGTGACCTCTGTGACGAAATGCTCACTGTGCCTCACCTTACTCATGTGTAAAATCTTGATTATACAAATGACCTCACAGCTACCCTCTGGACCTACCCAGAGGATAGCTGTGAGGCTCACATGGGAAAATGGAGAAGACAGTAACTAATAAACTGCAAAGCAAATTGGGTTTTCTTTTCTTTTTTTGTTTTTTTGTGTGTGTGTGTGTGTTTTTTAAAGACAGAATCTTGCTCTGTAGCCCAGGTTGGAGTGCAGTGGCACTATCATGACTCACTGCAACCTACACCTCCCAGGTTCAAGTGATGCTCCTGCCTCAGCCTCCCAAGTAGCTGTGATTACAGGCGCCCACCACCACACTCAGCTAAGTTTTGTATTTTTTATTGAGATGGGGTTTCACCATGTTGGCCAGGCTAGTCTCGAACTCCTTACATCAGATGATCCACCTACCTCAGCCTCCCAAGTAGCTGGGATTACAGGCGCCCACCACCACACTCAGCTAAGTTTTGTATTTTTTAGTTGAGATGGGGTTTCACCAGGTTGGCCAGGCTGGTCTCGAACTCCTTACATCAGGTGATCCACCTACCTCAGCCTGCCAAAGTGCTGGGATTACAGGTTGTGAGCCATCATGCCTACCCAGCAAATTGTTTTCAGATCTGGATCTATCAGTGTCATTTCTATATACTCTTCCTTTAAAGGGATTATCTCCAATTTTGTTCTAAATAGTGATAAAATAAGCAATGACCAAAACCAAAACAAGAGGAAAAAAACAAAGAAACAGCAACGACCAAAAAACCCCCTAAACCTTGTACAGCAAGACACTGAACATAATAGCTTGGACCAAAATATAACAAAGTAATCTTCATAACATTACTTAAAGTTATCCAAATAACTTCAACTTCACCTCTATAATCCTGTCCCAGCATTTATTAGACCTAATACAAAGCTCAGCACAGAGTAGGTGTTTGATAAATATTTACTGATTGAAATGGGGTTGAATTCTGAGTCTGCTACTCACTAACTTGTATAGCCTTCAGGAAGTCATTTAACTTTATTAAATGTTAGTTTACTCCAAATGAGGAATATTTACCCTATACTGTGAGGCTCAAAAATTAAACTACAGCAATAGAATTAGTGAAGGCACCTGGTAAATCGTAATGCATTAGTAGTCAAGAAATTTAAAAGTACACCTTGTAATACTGAAACAATATTAAGCACACTTTCTATCTTAGAAGTATTCCAGCACTTAAAAGTGCAGAAATAATTATAGAGCACAAAATACTATGTTCGAACTGAATACGTCAGCAGCAGCTATAAAATGTGTTTTCTCCTGCTATCCCTTGCATAATCCGTTACAGGCAGTGACTGCAGCAAAGATCGATAAGCTAACTGGGTAAAAGATTAATCAGTTTTGCAATTGCTAATGGAATCTCCAGTACCAGACTCAGATTAGTTTCAGAGTCCCTCTGAGCTGTTCTTCAAAATGCTCAAACAATTTTAATAAGGATGTGACAAAGTTTAGCATAGTTACCAAAAATCTAATTAATTTAAAACAGAGGGCGAGATTCAACAAGGGAATAACAAGTACAATTTTTTGCTTTGTTTTGTTTGCAAGTTTACTACAGTGTTCATATTTGTTATAAATCTAATTCTAATGCTAATGGCACAATTCAATCAATAATTACGTTTTTTTTCTTCATAAAAATCTGCCTTATAAAAAACTTGTGTTCCAAAACAGCACAGTTTAAGTTTACAAGGCACAATTCTCTATTAAGAAAGAAAGACCAGGTGCGGTGGCTTACGCCTGAAATCCCAGCACTTTGGAAGGCTGAGGCAGGCAGATCACCTGAGGTCAGAAGTTCAAACCAGCCTGGCCAACATAGTGAAACCCTGTCTCTACTAAAAATACAAAATTTAGCTGGGCATGGTAGTGCAAGATGGAGTCACTGCACTCCAGCCTAGGCAATACAGCAAGCCTCAAAAAAAAAAAAAGAAAGAAAGAAAAAGAAAGAGGGAAAGAGAGAAAAAGAACTTACCGTCACTTATTGGATACCCATGTGTGTTAGGCTCAGTACTACATATCTATGTTTACTCACTTAGCTTCTTACAACCCTATCCTACTCTGGAAGTATCATCATCTCTACTTAACCGATGAAGCAAATGGTTTATCAGTAAACAAAAGAACTACTCCTTTCAGTCTAGGCCATGCCATACACTCAGGAATGGGCTAGAATGAAAGGAGTGCAAAATGTATATTTATTGCTTACAAGTTAAGAGGCAGATTATCTCATATTTCTCAAAACATTTACCTAAATAGGCATGGTTACCTGGTAGGCTGCTGAGCTAGTGGAGAGCTAAGGCTTCGCTCACACCCCACGCAGGTTAAGTTTGTCCTCTGATCTTTCAGGTGCTGGCAAGGACATCTGTGCTGACGGGTGACCTCTGGCTCTTCCTTTGGCAACCCCCCTGGTTTTCCTACTTCTCCAACCACTCCACTCAGTTTCCTGTAAGTGGTTATTTCCCCACCTCTCCTTTAAATGCGGGATTTCCCCCACTGTTTTTCATCAACCTTCTCATTTTATACTCTCCTTGAGTTACTTCAGCCACTTCAAAGGTTTCAATTACCAGAGGAGACTAATTAGGAGCTGATAAATCACAAATCTGTTTCCAGCCCAGATTTCTCTCCTAAGTTCTGAAACATTCCCAGCTGGTTGTCCAGAGCCTCCTCCAATACAAAAGGTCCAAAACTGAATTACTCTCCTATCCCCTCTGAGACCCTAGACCTGTCTTCTGCTGCCTGGGTTTACTGTCTCAGGAAATACCATCACTATGACCCTGTTTCCCAAGCCAGAAATCTGGAAGTGATCCAAACCATCTCTCTTCTCTTCTTCCCCATATTCAATCACATGTTATTTATTTATTTATTTTTGAGACACAGTCTTGCTCTGTCACCCAGGCTGGAGTGCAATGGTGCAGTCCTGGCTCAATACAACTTCTGCCTTCTGGGTTCAAGTGATTCTCCTGCCTCAGCCTCCCAAGTAGCTGAGACTACAGGCACTGACCACTATGCTTGGCTAATTTTTATAATTTTAGTAGAGATGGGGCTTCACCATGTTGGCCAGGCTGGTCTCAAACTCCTGACCTCACGTGATCCACCCACCTCAGACTCCCAAAGCTCCAGGATTACAGGCATGAGCCACCATGCCTGGCCTACTAAATTTTATTAACTTCTCAAGTCTGTTAACTTTTCATCAGTCCTGTGACCACCAATGTCTTTCACAGAGAACAGACCCCCATGCTTCAGAAATTCTCTACCCCAACCCACTCTTGAGAGATACTGTTATCAGAAAGGGGTCCTGATCCATACCCCAAAAGAGGGTTCTTGGATCTTGTGGAAGAAAGAATTTCGAATGAGTCTACAGAGTAAAGTGAAAGCAAGTTTATTAAGAAAAAAAAGGGGCCAGACGTGTGGCTCACGCTTGTAATCCCAGCACTTTGGGAGGCTGAGACAGGCAGATCACAAGCTCAGGAGTTCAAGACCAGTTCAAGACTGTCCAATTATGGTGAAACCCCATTTCTACTAAAAGATATAAAAATTAGCCAGGTGTGGTGGCACACGCCTGGAGTCCCAGCCACTCACGAGGCTGAGGCAGGAGAATGGCTTGAACCCAGGAGGCAGGGGTTGCAGTGAGCCGAGATGGCGCCACTGCACACCAGCCTGGGCAACAGAGTGAGACTCTGTCCCAAAAAAAAAGGAACTTAAAGGAATAAAAGAATGGCTCCACCAGTAAACCCAGTCAGAGCTGGATTTTCCCAAAAAGTAAGAGGAGGAACACACCCACCTTAGGTACAATGCTTGTTTATATATAAGATAACAAAGCAATAAATCATATGGAGGAGCTGTGCTGTACTGCAAGGGCTCATGATACAGGATTGTTCATCTTTGTGTAATTACTATCTTCCACAAAAGTCTACATTATCTTTCAAGCAAAACATACTCTTTGAGATGGAGTTTTGCTCTTGTTGCCCAGGCTGGAATGCAATGGCACAATTCTGGCTCACTGCAACCTCTGCCTCCCAGGTTCAAGCGATTATCCTGCCTCAGCCTCCTGAGTAGCTGGGATTAAGGACTGCACTACCACACCCAGCTAATTTTGCATTTTTAGTAGAGACGGGGTTTTTCTCCATGTTAGTCAGGCTGGTCTCGCACTCCCGACCTTAGGTGATCTGCCCTCCCTGACCTTCCAAAGTGCTGGGATTACAGACCTGAGACACCACGCCTGGTCAAAACTTAATCTTAAATTTAGAATGCATTTGTTCTTAAGATACCAGGACATCAGGACATTTCCTGGGTCTGTTAAGTCCTGAGTCTGTTTGGCAAACGCTATTAACCTGTTCCCTGAACTGTAGACATCCTGTGACTAGGAATGCCGAACTTCCTGGGGCTGTAGCACAGCAGGTCTCAGCCTTATTTTACCCAGCCCCTATTCAAGATGGAGTCTGACATGGTTTAGATTTGTGTCCCCGCCTAATTGTCCTGTTGAATTGGAGGGTCTGGTGAGAGGTCCCTGGATCCTGGGGGTGGATTTTCCCCTTGCTGTTCTCATGATAGTGAATTCTCACGAGAGATGATGGTTTAAGTGTGGCAGTTCCCCCCAGCTCTCTCTCCTGCCACCCTGTGAAGAAGGTACTTGCTTCCCCTTTGTCTTCTGCCATGATGGTAAGTTTCCTGAGGCCTCCCCAGCCATGCAGAGCTATGAGTCAATTAAACCTCTTTTCTTTATAAATTATGCAGTCAAATAGTTCTTTATAGCAGTGTTGTCAAAGGCATTTGAATCAGAACAACTCCATCTTGAGTGAAGGCTAGGGAAAAGGAGGCTGGGACTTGCTGGGCTGCATTCCCAGGAAGTTAGGTATTCCTAAGCTCTAGAGGTTTATGATTAAGGGCAGACTGATAACATTTACTAAACACACTCAGATTCAGAAATGTCCTGATATCCTGATAGTGTGAGAAGAGAAGCATTCTTAATTTTGCTCTAAAGGTAATAATATCAATTCTTGCAAAATATGTTAAGAAAATTAATCCTGTCACAAACCCTGTAGCAGAGCACATCTCCCCATGATCCTTTTTTATCCTACACATAAACAAACATCTGGTGGGCGCGTTCCTCCTAATTTCCGGGACGCCCTCCTCCATCTACGGAGTAAGTAGCTATTTCACCACTTTACTGTCTTGCTTTCACTTTGCACTGTGGACTCACCCTGAATTCTTTCTTGCACAATATCCCAGAACCCTCTCTTGGGGTCTGGATCAGGACCCCTTTCTGATAACAGTATGAAAACTGACTAATACAGTCACTATGACTCAAATGCCTCTGGCAATATGACATACAATCATGACACTTTCCTGTTCCATGAAGCTAAGGCCCTCCATGGTCTAACCCACTTTCCTCCCAGCCACATCTCCTACTCTCTCCTCCGTCACTGCCCATACAGACTGAATCACAGTCAGCTCCTCCTGATTCACCAGGCATTCTTTAAACATACTGTTCTTTCTGCCCCAAACATCCTTCCTAGTCCCCTCATCCTAACTTACTCCACCTGGACACCGCCCTCTTCAGGAAGCCTTCTTGGTCCCCAAAGCTATATTAAGCACCTCCTGTGCTCACGGAGCACCTAATGCTTAGGTGTATTACATCATTTATCACTCTGCTTGGTAATTATGGGTTTTTCTTATTTTCCCCACACTGAACTCTGTTTCCTTTTTTGTTAACCTCCCTGACTGGACCATGAGCTCCTGGAGGGCATGAACTGCACGCTCACTGCACCCCCACCGCCTTGCATAGCACTTGACCAGAGAACTGCTATCCAATAAACATGTGCTGCATGAAAAACTGGTTGGATGAATGAGGAAGCATTCATCCAACTACCAAGGGAGTGACCTCAGGTCCCAGCTCTCTATTGACTAGCTGTGTGACCTCAAGCATGGCACATTATTGTTTGTGCCTCGGTATCCTCTTATAAAAATAGGGAAAAAACCTGCCCTGCTCACCTTATAAAGATGTTAAGATCAAAATTAAAGGAGTTGGTATATGAGAAAACTTCTTAAAAAGTACTTAAAAAAAATCTTGAAATAGGACATGGTGCCTTGACTCTCTCATTTCCAAGCAAGAGCACCCAGAAGAAAAATGTTCGTAACAATAGGGTGACATAGAAACTACTAAGCGAGACCACTGAGCTATCCGAACAAGGGGTAGAATTTAACTAACTGGCTTACTGAGGTTGAGTCAGTATCGTTTCCGTCCCCTCAATTACTACAGTACTATAAATAATAAAGTAAATGGGTATTGTGGGGAACAACAACACTGTTTCCCTTTTGGAAGCTCAACAAGGGCAGGAACCATGCCTTGTATATTTTATTTTCTCTTATACCAAAGGTATTAACCTGAGATCTATATGGGCTTTAGGAGATCCTTGAAGCTGGTAAAATGCTGCATTATGTGAATTTTCTGAGGTAAAAAAGAAACCAGTTCCGAAGATTTTCAGAAAGGACTATGCCTTCAAAAACCTGAGAAATCACTGCCATATAGTGCCTAGCACGTTACAGACGCTGCGCAAATCTTCCCAGAGGAATCTAAAGAGGAACTGATATAGACATAGCAACGACTCTCATTGGTCATACCTTCTAACTTAGCAGCAAGTCTCACGTACAGAGGAAATATCAGGCCTATTTATTATTCTTCCATACATTTATAACAGGACAGTTTCCTAAATCTCTCCTTAGCATGCCTAACAGACAAAATAATTGGTACAGTATTTCACTTACAAGGAATACTCATGCTGTTTTTTCATACTAATGATAAAATTTTCCAATTCCTGTTTTGTCAATACTGCAAGCATACCCCATTATATGTAGCTCAGTCAGTAATTACAGCAATAATCAATAAACTAACCAACTATCTGCCGTCCATAGTTAATGTATTAGTTTTCCCAGTGAAGAACCCAACAATCCTAACTCTGTCAAATGGCTACAAATTCAATTATAACCCTACTCAGATGTGTCATTAGTTACACCTTCTTTCAATTATTTCTCAGACTTTACATTAAGATGTTTTTCCTTTATGATGCTGACCTCTCACAAGGCACACAACTGCCCCAGTGGTCAAAAATAACATATGAAGCCAATCTATTTTGAATATCAAATTAACAGCTACATTTACTCACCTGGCTTCGGGCCCTGACTCCCTAATAACTCATTGCCCCTGCCATGAGGAGACTACAATGTATACAAGTTCCTCCTTAAAAGACTGGACCAATGGTCCACATATGGTCACGGATTGATTAGATGATGACAAAGAAAATCACAATGTGAAGGTCAACAAGGACCAAGTCTGGGGCCCATTCATAGGCTCGTGCTATTGGATAGATGTATTTATTAGTGGCTTGAAAGTGAAAATGACAGCAAGTTGGCCCAGTTTAATGATAACACCGTTTGGATAAAACCATAAAGGACTTTAGGGAGCTCCAGATGGTCTTCATACAAGTTTGGCCAGCCAATAGCAGATGAAATTCAAACTGACTAAGTTTAAGGTAATATGTATTGGCAGAAGGAGTTTACATCTGTATTCAGCAACAGGCCCAGAACTTACGGGATCCTCTCAGCTGAAACTTTCAGAGTCATTACCTTGGTTAGCTTGGGCTAGCGTCCACACTGACCTTACACCTGATTTTTAGGCTGCAGCAATTCTGCTATTCCTCTTAAAGTAGAACTTTTAATGGTAGCTTCAGGGGACCTGCCACTTAAACAAAGCAGAACATCAGGCCATGCCGACAGGAAGCCAAACGAGACATTCTGTTATAAACAGGCTAAGCAGAACCCTCCACAGAGACGGAACTGAACTGGGAGCAGAGCCATGTAAATGACCAAATGTTGATGGTCCAAACCTCCTATTCCAGCAGTCCACAGAGCGCCCCAGTGCTACCAAGACCGAGGCCTGCTTGTGCTTATCTTTTTCTTTGCTTCCAAGAGCCACATAAGAAATCCCTAATTCTGATGCAAACTTGAATACGCTTCTGCTCCTTGCTACCAAAAAGGCCGCAAGATAAATCACAACAGGAGCTAAAAGGGGCCACTACACTCTTACCACTATTACGAGGGCATGCAAATGTCCCAAACAACACAGAGAAGAGAATTAAAGTAATCTGCCTCTGGAAAAAAGTTTTCTTTGACCAGGATGAGAAAACAAAACAAAAACTTTACTTACAGCTTGGAGCATCTCATTATTTGAGTAAATAACTTCCAAAACAATTTATTTCCTTCAGTTTCCCTTTCTCATTGTTTTCACCATTTCTCCACCTTTCCCGAAGAATATACTATGTCATCAGTTGTTTGAATAAATTCCATCGAATTAGGGGACTAACCACTCATTGAAAGCTAAACTGATTTTGCCATCTGCAAATAAGTTCAAAGTAGAACCTACTTAATATGTGGCAGGTTTGAAAGCACCATGTGGAAAATGAGCTTCCAACTTCTTTGCTCTTTAAAAAAAAACTTCCTAATAGCTAAGGCCCTGATGCCATTATTCAATTCCTAAATGGACAACAAATTTGGTAAACACATAAAACACAGCTTTGTAGGTGAGGACAAAATCTTTAAACCTTCAGATGCCCACAGACTATGTATTTTTTACATTTCTCTTCACACTCAAATACAGTGACATCTTAGTAATAAGCATTA